CACAAGATAAGTCTGTTGAAGTTATGGAAGACTAAAAACAATTGTACACCATGGTGAAATTATTAAATTATGCACTCATCGAAAACAGTATAGGGATCCTCCAAATATTTTTAAATTAGACCTACCATGTAATCCAGAAATCCCACTTCTGAGTGTATAGCCAAAGTAATTAAAATCAGCCTTTGAAAGAGAAATCTGCATTCTCATGTTCATTGCAGCATTATTCTTAATATCCTTATAATCAAAACAGCACAAATGTCCATTTACAGAACAATGGATAAGAAAATATGGTATATACCTACACTGGCAGATCATCTCTCCTTACAAGAGAAGGAAATCCTTCCATTTGTGAAAACATGGATAGATCTGAGCAGTATTATGTTATATTATAGAAGACATAGACATTTTGTTTAATTAATAAGACATGGACAAATGCCATATGATCATCTATTTGAGGCATCTAAATGAGTGAAAGTTACAGAAGCTGATAATAGAATGATGATTACCAGGAGATGGGAGATCTGTGAATGGCAAAAATCAGTAATGGCTAAGAGATTCCCTACCCTTCTGTGTTATGGAAACTTCTTACTGCAGTGGTTATAAGGTTTTAGTTGAAGTAAGTTCCAGTGACTTGTTATACAGTATTGTGTCTACAATGAACAATAAAGCATTTTGCACTTAAAATTTCATTAAGAGGCTACAAAAAAAAAATGAAAAAAAAAAAAAAACAATAGGATACAGGACACTTTGGAAGTGATGAGTGTGCTCATTGTGATGGTAATGATACCCATGTATGCATTTGGCCAAACTCACCAACCTGAATAACTTATTTATGTGTAGCGTTTTAAAAAAGATTTTATTTATTTATTTGAGAGGTAGAGTTACAGACAGAACGAGAGACAGAAAGGTCTTCCATCTGTTGGTTCAGTCCCCAGATGACTGCAGTGGCCAGAGCTGGGCCAATCTGAAGCCAGGAGTTAGTAGCTTCTTCTAGGTCTTCCAGACATGTGCAGAGGCCCAATCACTTGGACCATCTTCCACTGCTTTCCCAGGCCATAAGCAAGGAGTTGGATTAGAAGAGGAGCAGCGGGGTCTTGAACCGGCACCCATATGGGATGCCGACACTGTAGGCAGAGGCTTAGCCCATTATGCCACAGTGCTGGCCCCTATAGTTTTTTATATATGAGATATATATTCACAGAGCAAATTCTCTACTAACCCTACTGATTGTACTCTCAGTCTCCACTTTCATCTGTTCTGGACATAGAGGTCAACATACCTGAAGTAAGACAGATCCCATTACTTCAAAATTTGAAACCCAAGAGTGAATCTTGATTCCACCCAGAACACACACACTGTCTTTAAAAACCAAAACTCCCCAAGTAATGTGCCCTCAACATTTTCTCTTCCAGCCATACACTGTTAAATCAGGGCATTTACAGAGACAGTTGGCCATTCTCTTTACCTAGAACATTGTACCCCGTATATCCACTTGTTGTTTCCTAAAGTCCTTGCTCAGATATCTATTTCTAAACAATCCTGATACTAAACAATCCTCAGATATCTGTTTCTAAAACAATTTCACAAATTTATTTTTTCTTATTTTTGTAACTTACTTTCTAAATTTTATATATACATATGTGTATATATGTGTGTATAAATGTTATGTGTGTGTGTGTGTGTGTAGAGAGAGAAAATATGAGTGGATCTTCCATCCACTGTTTCACTCCCTATATACCTGCAGCAGATGGGATTAGTCCAGGTGGAAGACCAAGGATGTGGGTGGCAGGTACTCCAAGTGTACTTCTCAGTGTTCATGTAACCAGAAGATGGAAATAAAAGTGGAGCCATGAATGTGGCATCCCAACTGGTTTTTTACCTGTTAATCCAGCACTTCCCCCTCTTATCAATTTCATTGCTCCATTATCTGTTCTTTGTTTTGCCTCATTAGATTGTAAAGTCCTTGGTCCTTGATTCAAAGATTTTATTTATTCATTGATATAATGATATAATGGGTTGACCCATTGTAGACATTCAGTAAATATGTTGAACGAGTCAAAGAATGAATTAATCAAAAATTTTTCCATTTCACACTTTGCTGAGTTTTGCTGTAATTTTCTAAACAGGTATGCATCTACTTAATTTTCTACATTTCCAACCTCATAAACATTTACAGGGACCAGCACTGAGGCACAGTGGGTTAAGCCACCACCCAATATGAAAGCATCCCTTATAGAAGCTGAATTGAGTCCTGAGTGCTTCGCTTCTGGTTGTGCTCTCTGCTAATGTACTTGGGAAGTCAGTGGAAGAAGATCCAAATACCTGGGTCACTGCCTGCCATTTGGGAGACCCAGTTGGTGCTTCAGGCTCCTGGCTTCAGCTTTCATAAAATTCTCTAAAACTGTAAAAGGAAAATGTTCAGCAAGAAGACATTGTTGCATGTTTTAAATGACATAATATTTAAAACTCATGGATTTATAACTCCCTGACAGCCAGAAAGAATTACTATAGTTGCATTTCATTCCACACCCAATTCTTAGTCACAAATGATTCTTCAATATTACACTGAATTATCATAAAATACACAGGCTCAATAGACATGTTTCTTCTTTGTAGGACAGCAGGCAATTAATCTATGTAGATGTAAAAGATTGCAGTGGGACATATCAAATCGATGCCTAAATGCAGTGTAGAAGTTATAAATTGTTAATCTCGAGTACTGGGACAGATTGCCGATTTCTACAATGTATTTAAGCATGTACTCAAATTTGTTTGTGTTTTGATTTTGTATTTAATAGTTCTGGTGGAGAGATATACTTTCTTTTTATTTTTTTGACAGGCAGAGTTAGACAGTGAGAGAGAAAAAGAGAGAGAGAGAGAGAGAGGTCTTCCTTCCGTTGGTTCACCCTCCAAATGGCCACTATGGCCGGTGCACTGGGCCGATCCAAAGCCAGGAGCCAGGCACTTCCTCCTGGTCTCCCACGCGGGTGCAGGGCCCAAGCACCTGGGCCATCCTCCACTGCCTTCCCGGGCCACAGCAGAGAGCTGAACTGGAAGAGGAGCAACCGGGACAGAATCTGGCACCCCAACTGGGACTAGAACCCTGTGTGCTAGCGCCGCAGGCAGAGGATTAGCCAAGTGAGCCGAGGTGCCAGCCCAAGATATACTTTCTTAAAAGCTTCACAAGGTAAAGATTTTGAAAGAATTCAAATAAAAAGGGGCTTTTAATGCAAATAGTTAAACCAAATAGGTAATAATAATAATATTTCATGAAAGTTACTCTGTGATAAAAATTGTGCCAACACTTCTGTAATAGTTTCAATGCATTTAATGTATATACCACCTCAGGTGGTAGATGATACCCTCACTTAGAATTTTAGAAAACTGACACTTAAATTTACTAGTGTAAGGGTTTGCAATTGGTTTGTAAAGGAGATGAAACTCGAGGCCAAAGCACTGTGCTCTTCAATGCTGTGTTATAACCATTTGCACTTTCTATAAAATGTCAAAAGTATAATGTGGTTTTCACTTTGAGACTTCTCATATTTTTGTTAAGTAAATGTAAGTCTTAAAGGAAAAGAATCTGAATCTACAGGCTGAATGATGTGACACTAAGACCAGTGTACCTCTCCAGGTACATCCATTATCTTCAGGTTCCCCAGGAGGCTGCCTTCAAACACTAAACAGTATTTGCAGAATGGATTTACTTATTTTATTCACATCTTCTTTTATTTTCTGCCAGGATCTCATCAGAAATGATTCTGTAAGGTAGAAAGAGAAGTAGGTGTGAGATAGTGAGTAAAACGAAAAAGAATGAAGAGTACCTCATCAAGACCACCTTCAACTGTGCTGGTCTACAAAGATTTAAAAACAAATGCAATCTTTCACTGTCATTGGCAGTGCCCCCTGCCTCTCCTGTTTGTGCTTGTGGCAGGCACAAACAAAGCATTGCACACCATTAAAACTACATGTTTTAATAGAGTGAAAATTAGGTCAAGTTAGCATCTGAAACAAGTTATTTTCTGTCTTATCAAGTGACTTTAGAACATGTTAAATGCCCCCACAGCAAAAAAAAAAAAAAAGCAACAGAATATTTATATATATATTTAAAATATTTGCCACATGTGGTTATTATTGTTTACATTAAAATAGCTATAAATAATGTAATAATATGCTTTTTAAAATCATGACCTAAAAGGGTTAGCAATATAAAGTTTTTATAAAAGTGAAAGAACTTAGGAACTGCCATTTGCCAAACTGGAAACTAATATGGTAATAATGTGTGCTTTTAATTAAACTCATTATAAAATTATGTAAAAAACCTCCATATTAAATAGAAAAAATATCTATTTTTTAACATTATTTGTTGTTGTTGGATATTCCTTATACTGTATAGATGTCATAATTTTAGTTGCCTACATTCACCCAAATAGCTTTTGAGAAATGTATGCAATATTTTCCTCAAACTTGTAAAACTACCGTTGCAAAAATATTTCTACATTTCTCATTGCCATAATGCTCAAAGGATCTCTATGCCCCTAGGAAAATGGCTGTCCTAGGCCTGCACCTTAGCATAAAGCTGTATGCCATATATCACAGAGTCCAGTGGATGTGTAAATAATGACACCCACCATGTGAAGTCAAGAGTTCTAAGACCCCATGACTCCTATAAAACGCAGATAGACAGCTTTATGTGTACAACATATTTGGCACTTCCCATGAGCCACTTAAAAGCTCAAATGGTATCATAAATTTTAAAAGTCTGGACTCAAATAGGACATAGTTGATGACCTCGTTCTATTTTATTCAGCTTCCAGCATCACTGGGAATTAAATGCTGGAAAAAATATAAAGAAGGATTTTTCCAGTGATTCATATTGAGTAAACATTAGCACAAACCAGACTGTCACATTTCACTTACTAAATGTCATTTCAAGTTAGGTGATTTTTTTTCCCAGAAACCCGTTGGAATGTCATGTTTGTGCTATGTTTGACTTGTAGAATTTTGGATCGCTACGTGCAGGAGCAAATTCCTGGTGCCAAGGTTGTGGTGGAGTCCATTGGTGCTCGACGGCATGGAGATGCATTTTCTCTAGAAGATTATACCAAGTGCGACTTAACTGTCTATGCAATCGACCCGCAAACCAACAGAGCGATTGACAGAAATGAGCTATTCAAGTAAGTCTGTTTCCTTGTCAATAACAGCTTTGTAATTACATCAGCACACATAGATAATCCTGACATAAGGCTATAAATATTTAAAGCATGAAACCCATCAAATCACTGTTGAAAGCCAAGTGTAAACAGATAACTTGAGCCAATACCTAAAGGTTTTCATGTCCAAGGATGGGCTACAGTAACTTCAGAGATCTGTTCTGAAGTGAAGCAGAGACAGGGTCCTAAGTAAAACAAATGAGCCGGGAAAAGCTCTTTCTGATCACATCAAACCAGCCTTCACTCTTGCTCCAAGGCTCTGCCTTATACTGGAGAGGAAAGTACAGATTCTCAAAGTACCAAGTTTGCCTGCCATTCAGTAGCCTTGATTAGAGGGACAAATCCAGCTTTCTTCCTGGTCTCCTGATTTTTTTTCCCTCTACTGAGTATGGAGAGCAGAAGGGAATAATCACTTCCACTGAAGTATATCCTCTATGTGATATTCTACCTTGGTGTGAATTTGAATATCTGAGTTTACAAATATGAACCAAATGCAGAATATTCAACAAAAATGCAGTGTCTTTTCCCTTAGATGATATTCTAGCACAGTAAGACTAAAAATAAAAAAAAAAATCTATTAACAGTTTTTGCCATTCTCTGGTGACATCTAGTGTTTAACAGAATCTTGGAATAAAATTATATTTATATTGAAACATTTTTTAATTAAAAATGAATATAGAGGGTAATTCAAAAAGTTCATGGGAGTGGAATTAAAGTTCATGCTGGTGTGTAAACTTGAAATCCCTGCATAATTTTTATCAAAATATGTATTTTCATGAACTTTTTGATATATCTTATTTATGGATACTTTATCCAAAATATATGTGTATATTCTGAAGTTTATATTTTTCTGCATAAGCTTACAAAGACACATATATATCCACAGATTCATACTTTCATAATTTATTTTTTCTTTGTTATACAGCATATAAACATATCCATTTGCAAATTTACCTACATATAAGGTAAATTTACATTTACATATAATCAAAATTTTTAAATTTTTTATGTATGTGTATAATTAATATTTTTCTGAAATCCAGAAATTCTGAGTTTAGCTCAAGTTTAAATGTTCATTGGTAAAATTCACTGGTCCTATTTTAATAACAGTGAAATAGGGATTCAAAATCAAGGTAATATTTTAAAAGCCATAGTTATTAAGTATAATATTCATCACTTTATTTTTAATGTTTGTTACATGCAAGACAGTATATTAAATCATTGTTCATAAATGTAGATGGACAAAGTAATAGTTCTCTCTCAGGTTTCCAAAACACCACTCACGTGAAGTAAAATTTAGATCTACTAGGCTAACTTTTTAAAAAGTTTTTGAGGGAGTGGAGTTTCAAAGGAATTCATATATTGTTTGTCGATTTCCATTATCAACCTTTTTAATCTTCATTTATGTTCACTTGAGTTGTTTTCTTTATTCATTGGTTTTAGTTTTAGTTTAATGATAGATTGTGCTCATGAATTTTTTTCCAATTAAGACGTATTCATTTTCTTAGGATGTTCACTGGGCTTTATCGAATATGATGATGGTTATTACAATTTTTTTAATTTATTTATTTGAAAGTCAGAGTTACACAGAGAGAGGAGAGGCAGAGAGAGAGAGAGGTCTTCCATCCAATGGTTCACTCCTCAATTGGCCACAACGGCCAGAGCTGTGCCAATCTGAAACCAGGAGCCAGGAGCTTCTTCCGGGTCACCCACGTGGGTGCAGGGGCCCAAGGACTTGGGCCATATTCCACTGCTTTCCCAGGCCACAGCAGAGAGCTGGATTGGAAGTGGAGCAGCCAGGTCTTGAACCTGTGCCCATATGGGATGCCAGCGCTTCAGACAAGGGAGTTAATCCACTGTGCCACAGCGCCGGTCCTGGTCATTGCAGTTATTTTAGGACTAAAACATTTGGAAACAAGTCCATTGGGTTTCTACTGACACTATGAGGCACAGGATACTTATCCTTGCTTCTAAACAAGTTTGTCCAAACTTAGATTATATTTTGGAAAGTAAAGATCTAAATTCAATAGAATAGATATAGCAGACAGACAGGAATGAGGGAAAGTGTGTGTGTGTGTGTGTATAAATAAATAAAATCTTCTGTCCTGTAGAGAGCATAGGGTAGCCATGAAGTACTAACATTTTCTCTTAGCAGTGTTAGTTTGAAGTCTAGAATCGTTCCTGCAAATATTTTACAATATAATTTTAAAATATTGTAGTCCAGATCTAATAATGCACAAGTAATATCTACTCTGTACTTGAGAGTTATTGAAAATGTAGCAAACACTGAACAAAAATACTGGAATTTTAAGATTGTTGCCTAATGCATGGGACAATGGAAGTGGAACTGCTTTCTCGATTCTCCCTTATGCTAAAATGTAGGCTTCTGAGGATGTCTTCATTTCAAATCAAAAGCTTTAAATGAAAATCACAGTTTCTCCAGAGAGTTCACTTTTATTTTTTAAAATGGGTTTTTAACGAATAAATAGGAAATTTAAACCTAAAGAGGATATAGAGAATATCATTTATTTGACATTCTTATTGGTATTTTATTTTTCTAATCTTTGCTTATTTCAATGGCTTAGATTTGCTTCAATAAATATATATTACTTTTCTCCTGCTTTTATCTCCCTGTGATTCTTTAAACAAATTTAATCTGAATTTTAACCTTCTTTTTGCTTTTGTTACTGTTTTCCTTTCTGAAATAATCTCAGTTACTATCCATTCAAGTATTTTTAAAAATAATTATTGAGATACGGTTCATGTATCATGGAATTCACCCGTTGAAAGCATATAATGCAATGATTATTAGTGTAATCATGAAGCTGTGTAAGCAACAGTCAATTCTAGGACATTTTCAACATACAATAAAGAAAAGCTGTAATCATTAGTAGTCATTTTCCATTTCTCTTCCCCACTCTTCTTATCCCCTCCCCTCTAATCCCAAGCAATTATTTATCTATATTCTTTCATTATGCATTTGCCTAGTCTGGGTGGATTTTTAAAACAATCCTACCAATTTATATTGCAAAAATCTGTACCATTCAAAGCAATCTACAGATGTAATGCAAAATACCTACCAAAATACCAATGACATTCTGCACTGAAATAGAAAAAAGAATCCTATAATTCATATGAAATCACAAATAAACCCAGAAGGTTAAAGCATTCATGAGCCTGATGATTCAAGAACTGATGTATCATATTACCTTAGTCCAAAATATATTGTAAAGCTATTGTAATTGAAACAGGATGCGATAGATGAGACTGGCATAATAACAGACATGGAAACCAATGGAGTAGAATAGAGCCACAAATACATGAACTTACACTCAAATGATTTTTCTTTAATATTGCCAAGATTTCATGATTCAGTATAGGATCATCTTTTTAATAAACTGTTCTGGGAAAAGTAGACATTTTGAAAAATTTCTTCTCCCCCATTTTCTCTATTTCCTTTTTAAGATTAGAATTAAGAATGATTGTTTCTCACAGTTTTGGGACGTGATACTCTGATTTTGCCCCTCCCACAGTTGTTCGCTGTGTTTTAATTTGGATTGAACATGTAACTGTGAAAGTATTTGGATGGCCCTTATTTTTGAGTTAGGAAACTCAAATAGGTTGATCTGTGTCAATTTATTGAAGAATTCATTGAAGAAATTCTTCATCTTGAGACCTTTCATAAACCGAAATTTGTAGCATTTCCATTAGATTTTTTCCATGCGTTCCCCGCCCCACTGTACTGAATCTCTGCATTAGTTCAAGTATGTTTCCTACTTCCTACTGTAGTCTGTAATGTATTAGTCATACCTTTATCAAAGTCTCTGGCCAGTACCTACATCTTGTTCTTATTTCATTATTTTATCACTTAAAAATAGGTATTTTTATTTTTTAAACTTTTTGTGTATTATCTTATTGAATGCCAGAAATAATATGGAATACAAACCAACAAAAAACAGTAAGGAATGAGGCTATTACTTTCAAGTGGACATGCTTTGTCTTCTGCTGAGTGAATCTGGTCACTCTAGTTTTGCATTTCACTGTGGAAATCATTAACTGCAATATGCCATAGACTGTAAGCGCTTGTCACTTCATTCTCACAATAGGAATAGCGTTGTAACAAGGCTTTCTCAGTCTTGATCAGTCCTCAGTCCACAGGAGTTTGTCTACATACTCATCTCTCCCACAGTGGTAGGCAAGTCTCGGCTTGTTGCTCAGTTCTATCCAGGATAGTGGGATTGAAGTATGGGGTGAGGTTGGTCTGTCCTCCTCTTCTAACTTGTATGTTTAATTTTGGGGGGGTGCTTCCTCAGCTTTCCTTCCCCACCGTCTACTGTTTTCCGACTTGTGGCTGTTGGCTATAAGACAGCTCCCTGCCCTCTACTTTGTACACAGTAGAAAGGCCCATGAGGACATCCAGCGTAGTCCTACCTCAGGTGCAATTAATATAGCTACATATTGGGAGTGAATCTGTGTGCCTCACCCTTCGATTTCAAAGGTTTGCAAATAACAAGTAAGTAGAGTGCAGATGAGAATAAAGAGAAAAAAAAAAAAACACCTTTTTATTGATATATCTATCCAGAGTCAACATCAGTCTCTTTTCTAGGATAAGCATGCATGGGCAAAAATGGGGTAATAAATACTGAAAAATAAAACAGATTTATGACTCAGAGATAGAACATATAACTCTGAAAGTATCTTTCCGTAGACATCATTGGAAAACCATTTAACATCTTCAGTAGAAACCAAGATAATGTGGGTTAGTGAAATGGTGTGTTTTAAATGCCCTAAATCCTTCTGCTGTTTCTGGAAAACAGACTCCACTTTATCTTGTGAGAATTAACCTTCTCCAACATGTTGATGGTTTAATGAAGTGGCTCCCCTTAGTCCAATTAGAGTTTGATATTTCTCTGCTCACATTGACAAGATATGGGTTAGCACACATTCCAGAGAAGCCAATTAGATTCTCTCTTCAAGGATTACTATAGATGTTAGGTGATAATAGAATTCTTACTCCTGAAATAAGAAAAAGTATTAAAGATCCCCGAGGTCTTTTTTTTTTACTTCACGGGGAAAATCTAAAGTCACTTGAGCATCTGAATTAAATTGATAACAAGTATGTACATTAATAATTCATATTAAGGAAAAGGAAAATAAATTATACGAGAAATCAAAATTTGCTTATAGTATGATTGACATGAAACCTAAAAAATTAGATAGATTTGCAGAAAAATTACAGTACTTATAATGGAAATAAAAATTGAAAATGTAATTAAAGAGTTCATTAAATTGTAGACAAAAATCAATGCAAAGGTGGTTGTGTACTAATGAAAAGTATGTAAATATATTTAAAAATCCTTGAACCAGAAATAAAAATGATTTACTTATAAAGGAACAAAAATAAATGTACTCTGTGACTCTCAGGGACAAAAAAAATGATGGCACCAAATTCATAATGCTTCAGGAAAAAAAAATTGCATGATGCAATCATTTTGGTCTCAGTAAGTTGTTTTGAATATATAAATTGGAAAAAAAAACACTGTATTAGGTCTAATCTGAAAGTGATCAAATCTTCTAATAAATAATTCCTTATACTAACACTTTGAGATATAAGTCCAAACAGATTCTAAATAATGGGACTGTTTTAAAATCCAAAGTTTAACAAATCATCCATTAGGTGATTTGGACATGAAATATAGGAATTCAACAGAATTTTGATCTGCTAAGTGATTTCCACATGTGAGGGTTAAATTTTTCCTGGCAAATTAATGACCTTTCTAGTTCTGATACTTTGCAGCTTTAATAATATATAACTCATGATATAACATTTACTCTGTACCTCATTAGAAATTCTCTCATTTTTACCTAATAAACAATTCAAACAAAATGCTAATATTCTACTCTGGTACTTGTAACAATGTCTAACCTTTTGATATATATTTGTCAAGTGTGAAGTCAGTCTAAGAAAATTGCTATAAAGATTTTGTTCATAAAAGTAAATTTGCCTTTAAAGAATGCTAATTGTCTCATATTATAGAATTAAAATGTAATTTAAAAAGTTTGTAGTTGGGCCTGCGCTGTGGCTCACTAGGCTAATCCTCCGCCTGAGGCGCTTGCACTCCGGGTTCTAGTCCCAGTCGGGGCGCCGGTTCTGTCCCGGTTGCTCCTCTTCCAGTGCAGCTCTCTGCTGCAGCCCAGAAAGGCAGTGGAGGATGGCCCAGGTGCTTGGGCCCTGCACCTGTGTGGGAGACCAGGATGAAGCACCTGGCTCCTGGCTTTGGATCTTCAGATCAACACAGCACACCGGCCATAGTGGCCATTTGAGGGGGCGAACCAACGGAAGGAAGACCTTTCTCTCTCTCTCTCTCTCTCTCTCTCTCACTGTCTAATTCTGCCTGTCAAATAAATAAATAAATAAATAATCTGTTTAAAAAGTTTGTAGCATTACAACTGAATTATCTAAACCATTTAGTTTCCTAAATTGGAAAAACAAACTACGCACTGGAATTCATATCTCACAAAAAGACATCTCTTTGTTTTTTTTCATATGGAAACTATGAACAGCTATTTAAAGTCAGTAAGATCAGTCTGAAAATTAAAACAAAGTGTTAAAAGGCATAAGGGAGACCACAAAACATGCACAAAGACAATATCTGGTTATATTTTAGTAGTGAAATTAGGGACCATTTTTGCTTGTTTGTTCACATTTTGTGTTTTCCACATATTTCAACATAAGCTTATTATTTTTACATTAAGAAATATATTTCAAAATAGTATTTGTACTTTGCGCTGCATGATCAAAAATATATAAAATATTTATTAAATCCTACAAATTAGACTTGAATAGATAAGTACATGAACAGAGATTATGCTTGACTTTGCATCATGGATCTAAGAGTAATTTAGCTTTACTTGGACTAATTTTTGTTTTCCAATTTTCAATAGTAAAGTATTTGTCATTTATAAATGAAACCTTAACATTTTAAAAAGGAAAATAACTAATATTTGTTGTGGCTTTGTGTATTAGCAGTACAGTTGTTGATTTAATATGTAGGATTTATAAGATACTGTTAAAAACCTCTGAAGGAATTAAAAAATAATATTTGCTAATTATAGTATAATTTCCTAACATGATAAGATTAAGTAACAATTATTGCTTGATTCTTCCTCCAATGCACTACTCACCAAATTTCATTACTTAGAGGAGGAAAGTATTGCAATAATTGTGGGATTTAACTTGTGATGCTAACTACAGTGACTACTTGTATTCTTTATTATCTTTTCCTATAAAGAAAATATAATATTGCATTTCTAGTTTTCCCTTTTCACAATGTATTGACTTGAGGTTGATTTTTGATATATAAGTTAGTGTGATGGAAATCTCATGCAGACCAAGCCTGAAGACTTAGGTTGGTGTCTCAGATTTGTTTTCATAACTGAATAGTTTTCTGACTTGCAGTTAATAGTATTGTATTGTTCTCTGTTAACAGGATAAAATGCATGAATTTTAGAGTATACTATATAACTATATAACGTGGTATATTTTGTTCTACCTGAATAATTTAATAATGTAAATATTATAACATGATATTAAGGTCAATGATATTGATATTTCATTTGGTGAAACCTGTAAGTATATCATGTTAGTGCCATTGCTGTTAGTATCTTTTCATATTTAGAAACAGATTTGTAGTTACTCTTCTTTATCGTTCATACTTTTATATATTCTATTAATATTTTCAATTGAAAAACAAATTGAGTTAGCATTGTTACGGATATCATCATATAAAACAATTTTATTTTAAAAAGGCTTTTTTTGCTGATCTCATTAATTTTACTATTTATCTAACAATAAGATTTTTGGATGGCAAACTGCTGGATATCAATAAAGATTTTCAGCCATTTTATGGGGAAGGAGGACGCATTCTGGAGATCCGGACTCCAGAGGCAGTGACCAGCATTAAAAAGCGAGGAGAAAGTCTAGGATACACAGAAGGAGCCTTACTGGCTCTGGCCTTCATCATCATCCTCTGCTGTATTCCTGCCATCCTGGTGGTCTTGGTCAGCTACCGACAGTAAGTATTCAAAGATGCTACACATGGATAATTCCTCAAGAAAGTATTCCTGAAAACCATTTCTGGCAACATAGCCCTGTAGTTGTGAAATGCTGGTGATACAATGGTGATGGGATTCCTTTGTCCTTCTTGCATATCAATTAATCTTTCTCAAAGGGAAAACAATACAGACTTTGCATATATTTTTCACAGGTGGCACAACATTCCTGGGCTCTAAATATTTTCTCATGCCGAGCTTAGCTTGTACGTCTTATTGTATATGCTCTTCTTGTGCAAAGAACCTGTAGACAATAGACACACTGGAGAGAAAAACAGTGGAATAAAATAGGCTCAGTTCCACAGGAAGAACTGTAACCTCACTACACTGTCATGATAGGTTTTTATCTGTACTGTTAAATATAGGTCTGTGTATAGGATCACAGTGTCAGTAAATCATTGTAAAATCATAGCAGGCACCATGGGGTTTCCTTGGTAGTTTCTTCTTCCTGCATAGCCTTCTCGAGGCCTGTATTGCAAAGTCTGATGGCGTATGTTGGCTCTGATTGCCCTTAGATTCTCAGGTTCCTTCGACAACATGCATTTATTTATAATATCTACCTATCTGTCTATCTATCATTATAGTATGCATACTTTCAAAATTCACATAAATCCTTTAAAATAATCAAATGATTCTAAGTGCTTTAAATAGCTATAGTTGAAGTATTCCTTGAAACTATATATGGAGAAACTGTGATAGAGGGGTACACATTTTAAGTATGTCCCTACTGACAGAATTTTGAGAAATATTGGGAAGCTGGTTAAGAAGTGAGGTAGCCCTGACAGTGTGTAAAAAAGAAACTGAATAACAGATCGGAATCATAAATCATATAAATCATCTGATTAACAAATAAGACATAATGATACAATTGTTGTTCATCATGTACAATATCTATAGGTAGAGTACTAAAATGTTTCTTAGAAATTCTTAAGCCTTCCTTTTTTTCTTAAGGATTTTTTTTAATTGAAAAGGGAAGGAAATTCCAACTGGAAGTCCTAAAATATGTTCTGCATGAACTACTGTAGAACTGTTTTCCAACACAAAAACTGTGACGTTGCAAACATAGCATTCGGTTGTTAATATATTCTTAACAAATCAATTTTATGCTATATCTAAAAACCATGACTACGCAATTCTGGACAAATGATTTTGAATTATTAAGCTATCAACCCAATATTCATCTTCATGTTTGTGTGTGTGTGTGTTGTATTAATTCCAATTTTTCCCAAAGAGGCCTGCCACCAATGAAATCAGTATGAAAATTCCTGTATGCATCATTCAATGCAATAATCAAAACTGAGTAATTCTAGATGCTATACACAGAATTCTAAAACTTTAAAAATTTTAACATGTTTATTATATTAATATTTTGAAGATGGATTATTTAATACTCTTAGTTATCAGTTCAGCATATTATGACTTTATGTTAGTTATTTCTTTTTAGAGATTAGCAAACACAATGGGTTTTTTCTTTGCTCACATATCAATAAAAATTCAAATATTAAACAATCTGAAATTTCTGCCTTCATACCCGAGTTGTAACTAGGATAAATGGATGGATATACGTCTATAGTATGGCATGTTGTTAAGATTTGCTATAAATGGAAAGCTAAGAAGCAAAAAAGAAAAAAAAATTGCCATGAATTCGTTATGCATGAGTGGCACCTTCCAACTCAAGTTTCAACTTCAAAGTCAGACCAACATAATCAGGACTTGTTACATGTGTCTATTCCTTTAATTTTCTAAAACGAGAATAAACCAACAAACCAGTGATAAAGATTCGATCACCTTTAATATCCCATATTCTCTATTAGAATCGATACCCACCTGTCCATAGAATAACCTAATATCTTTTTCCATTCTGAGATGAATGTTTTACAGCATGTTATGGCTGTTAATAGTAATAATAAAGTGCTCCCCATTTTCCAAATTGAAAAATCGCATTTCTCTACTGTGCCATTAAAGTTGGGATTATGAGTCTAATCAGTAAATAATTCATAATTTAAAATTAGGTGTTAAGATAATGAGTACATTATTTCTAATGTAACTTTGTTTTTTTTCTTACTCATTGCTTTCCCAAACAGGTTTAAAGTGTAAGTATACTTACTAATAAATTGCACATGATTATTTTAAATACAAAATGAGAAACCCCAGATCATGTAGATCAAGTGCCTACTTACTCAGGACCATATATCATTTATTTATTTTGTATTTGTAATGGTATTGCATATTTTAATTTGTTATAAACAGAATACAGATGATTTTAGACAAGCGTATTTACCTAGGGTAATTGTGGAAAATAGTTGACTCGACTCCTTTCTACCATTTGAGGTGTTGGTCTTGACAGAACAGTCAGTGGTCAGGACATCCAAAAACAGCTGCTGAGCGCTAACAAGAATCACAGGCATTCTGAGGAACTAAAAAAATACTTTCATAAAGCCAACCAACTCTCCCTTCAACATGTGCGCACACAAGCAGAATCTGGGAACCGTCAACTCTATGTACTTCAAATCATTTTTGAATAGAATAACTTTTCTTTACATCAATGAAGAATAAAGCAAAATAATTTATCTTCTATAGCCCTCATCTTAAAGAAACTCAAACCAAATTGCATCACAATTTTTATTTTTAATTGATATAAAATCGTATACATTTATGGCATCCCATGCGATGTTATATAATGTTCAAGTCAGAGTAAGCATATTTATCTTGTCAAACATTTACTATTTCTTTGTGGTGAAAACATTCAAAATTCTTTCTTCTTGCTTTGGTAAAATACACAATGTGTTATCATTGTCTACAGTCACCTTAACTACAATAGTAGAAAAGGAGAACTTAATTCTCCGACTAACTTGTTTTACTTTCTCGTTATTATGATCGTATAATTTAATTTTAAAATATCTCTCCTATATTTGATCCCTTAGTCAAGCAGTAAACATTTTAAATAACTGAGGGGGAAGTAGATGTAAACAATAGTCTGAGATCGCTCTGTCCTTACCAGTCCAAATATTTGTGGTAACTGTACCTCATTATTAGAAGGCAGCCTATTGATAAGCATGTGACTTTCTAAGAATGAATTTGACAAGACAACCTTACTTTACCCAAGACGCCAAGCCGAGTGCACCAAGACAGCAAGAATTCAATCTGCTCTACCCGCGGCTAAACCGGCAGCGCCCGCCCCCGCCCCAGTGGCAGCGCCCCCGCCGCCGCCTCCGCCACCAGGAGCGCACCTCTATGAAGAACTCGGAGACAGCACAATGTAAGTAGACCTCTCAGGAACTCTGAGAAATAGATGGGTTTAATGGATGCTAGGTGGACGGTTGAATTTCAGCCTGTAATGTTATTTATTTACTTTTACACATCAAATTACTTAGATGAGAACTTTGGAACAGTTAAGTGCAACAGTCAAAGTGAAAAAAGCCGAGAAAACTAACGTAGACAAGTTGTTGTATTCAGCTGAGGAAACAATTTCTCTCAACCTTCAAGGTTATGCACACACACAAAGTATAAATCGATCCAGAAAACAAAGTGTTCACATAGGAAATGAGGAGATAAAGCAATCATAAAATACTAATTGCTGATTGGTATTAACACCAATGCCTATTTGGTAATTAAACCAAAATTTTATGATTTAAAATTCTAAGACTATTTTAGGGCATTATAGGTAAGTTAAAATGTGAGTGAAAATAAGGAATTCATGTACTAGATGCCCAATCACTTAGAACATCATTTCATCATGTTACTCTTAGACTGTTGTGATTACTACACTATTTGCAATCTCAAGTAACTTTAAATGACATATTTTTGAAATAGACCATTAGCTTATTACTAAAATACTTCCCAGCTCAATTTGTAATGGTGCTCCCTTCATAATCTGATTCCTTTGGTGACCCTTTACTTTGTCAATATTTGTAAAACTCCACAGTAGCTACTTTAGGTCATCATGTGTTAAGAAAAAAAAAAAAAAGCAAGGATACTTTAAAACCTTGACAATAAAATTAAATGCAGAATTTTTTTAAATTGGAATTTGGCACAGTAGGGAAAACAACTTGTAGCGTTTACTAGTAGGAATAAAGCAAGCCTCAAAAATCTTGGCTTTTGTCTCTAAATGGGAAAAATATTGAACAGATACATTAATATGATTTCCACATTAATAGTGTTATAAAAGGTTTGGTTGAGAATAATATGAATAACGTTAAATCTTATGTAATGCTATTATTTTAATGCAAAAACAGATTTTAAAGCAGCTTAATACATGACATTCTATTTTGAAAATAATAATACAGATTCATGCTATATATATATATATATGTATACTCTACTTAGAAAATTGATGGCCTCTTTTAAATTACTGGTGAATATAGGAATTGAGCCAATATGATTTGATACTCTTTGAGACTCCTCTCTATCAAAAATATTTAGAAACTAAGGAAGCATTGTGTACAAATTTCTGTGTTTATATATCTTCATTTTAATTTAACACCAGTAGATATACTGTAACATTGTCTGGAATCCATATAGTTTGATACTGGTAATTTTCAAATAACAGCCTATAAGGATTATAATTTTCATAGATTTAGTTTAAGATCATACAATCATATGATTTTATTGAAACATTTTATGTTCTATACTTTGAATTATCTTTATGAATTTTTTGATTTACATAATTGACAATAATGTGTTTGATCTGTGATCATTCTCCAGTAACTTTTGATTAGAGTAAGATAAAAACAGCAAAGATAATTTTGAATCAAACTGCTACATAACAACTTCAAATACATTCAACAATTGCTCTGTAATAGCTATGATAGTCCTCATATATATCTTCTTCCAAAAAATATAGGTTCTTTATAAATCAGTGTGCATGAACTAATTTTCCACAGTTAAAAGAAAGTCTCATTCAAGATTTCTCCTTCAGGACTGAAATAATCTAGGTTTGATAGAAGGAAATCCTACTCATGTAGAGTCAGTAGATCCTTGGGTATAATTATATGTGATAAAAGCATATACTTTTTATTTGGCTATCTTATCTAAAACATGATATATCATTCTGATGGGTAAACACAAAGAATAGAAAATATGCATTTCCTTTTTTGGATGTACTGTAACTATTTAAAGCAAATTCCTTTTACTATTTTCATTATCTCATTAACTATAGTTAAAACTTTTTTTTTCTATCACATGTTTTCTCTTTCTCACCTGTGGACACATAGGCATAAGTAAGTAAATGATATCATTCTAATACAAGGGCAGTAGAAACAAGAAGCTCTAGAATAGATTCAGTGCTGTTTTACTGTAAATATAGTAACTATCTTTCATTGTAGTCATTTGCTTTTAAAAAGCAAGCTTTATCTTCCATACCCAGTTTCATTTTGATGTCTTGCAGTGGCATGAGTTAAAAACAAGGGTTTCCATAGGCGGTACTTGTGCCTACTTGAGAGGGGTTTCAAAATTCTCTGTATTTTCAAATTGTTGAAAATTCCATAAACAGAATTGTTCCCAGTGAAATTCAAGAACATATCTACAGGAAAAATAATGTCCATGTCATGTCCAGTCCAGTGGTTTTTGACATATCAACATTAGGAAAGATAAAAAGTGTTACCAGTCTATTTAATCCAGATTGTGTGCACACTCTGAAATATTTAGGTGAGACTGATACTGCAGGTTGACCTCTGAGAACTCTTTCTTAAAATCTGTATTTTTGCCAAAGGACACATTAACAACTTGAGCATTACCTATCCTCTTATTGCCTAGCATTGCCCTAATTTTTTCAATGTGTCTATTCAGTTTTTATTTCATTCATTCTAGATGGGTAAATACTAAACAATAACTAAAATAGTCATTTGGTTGTGGTCTGAGACCAAAACGAAGTTGCAGACTATCCAATTCCCCGACACCCAATGTTTCTGTGATTAAGGTCCCAGTGCTATCATTAAGAGCCACTTAATTTGTGCTCTGTGACTTACTCAAATGTAATTATGAATCACAGCTACCTATGAGCCACGTCCATATGTGAGCAAGTATTTTAGTGGCACCAATGCAGTGCTACTTTAATATAAATATTTTATTAAGGTGAGTCTTGACTACAAGTTGATCCCATATCATATGGATCCTTTTCTTTTTGGTATCATTTAAGTTTAGGCTGGTCAAGCATAAAATTTAAGCAGAAGAAAATATTCTGTCAAGATTCTAGCATACATTCAATCTCTCAATTGTGATTTTCATTCTGTTTACCTGGAAAATAGAATAGCTTTCTCTATTCTCTCATGAATTTTCTGTTAGAAAAATGCCGTTAGCTTCAGGACACAATTTTATTCAAATGAGAGATGATAGGTACTGATTCAGATACAGCCAAGGATCTTTTATCCACAGCAGTAAGTTCTGAACATCCTCAAACAAATCAAAGGACATGAAATCAAATGCTAAGATGCTGGTCTGCAATTTGGGGAATTTTGTTCGGGAACTGTGCACTGCTATGTATGGACATGGATACTTTGCTGTATCAAACTAGCAGAAAAAAATACTCCAGAGATCGGCACTCATTATTAAATGTAAATTCCTCATGCTACTCCCACCTCTCAAGATTGTCCTGTCCTGTCTTTCGGACAACAGGGATTCTAAAGTGATGCTTTGCTTCTGTAGATCAGTGCTGTTTGAGCTTTATGTTTGGAAGTAGAAATAACAACCATAAAAAACATCTTTCTCATGAAAACTATGTCACAACTTGTTTCCTTATATTTCATTATCTTCTTTTCTTTCAAGTCTTTTCCTTCTCTACCATTTTCAACAAAGCAGGGGAAATAACTCAGTCTCAGAAGACAGGAGACCTCACCAAGTTGTGATGCCCATTGCTTCCAATACTATTGAGGCTCAAAGGACACCTCATATATATGGATCACTTGAGAACAGCCAGCGGGAGTCTACAAGGAAATTCTCATGTCTATCTCAAGAAGACAGCTTAAGTACCCATAATTCTCTTTATAAGGAACACATAGGTCAAAGACCAACAAATTCCAACTTTCCCATGAGAACAGAAGTGGTAAACCCATTTTTACCCAGAACCCATGTCAAGAGTCAGTCTCTGAGGGGTCCTCGAGAAAAAATTAAGAGGATGTGGAAGCAGCCAGTCAGCTTACCTAGGAGACTGATGGGGAAGGTTCCAAAGAGACCAGAAACCATTGATCTAGTGCAGTGGCCAAACACAGCACAGAACGCTGAAACTGAAAGCACTGGAACTTACCCAAACCGAAGAAGTAGCAGTAGTTCATCTCTTACAACTGAATGTGCAGATCTGACCGAGAAAGAAGAAATACGGGATGGTGAGACACTGATTCCAAGAGAAACACAGCAGTTGAAATCTCTATCTTCAACCTCTTCATTTTCCTCTCTTTGGCCTCACTTCTCATTCTCCACTTTGCCAACTGTTTCGAGAACGGTGGAACTCAAATCAGAACCTGCTGTTACCGCTTCTCCTGACGACTGTTCCTTGGAACTTTCTCCTCTAAGGACTAGCACTTTAAAGGCTCCAGTGTATGGGAAAGAGACACCCACTTGTATGGTAGCTGTTGAAACTAAAAGGCGTGATTTCGAAAATCCTTCCCACTCACCATACGTTCCCCCTTGTGCCCACCCCTCTCTTCCTCCTTTTCCTCCACTTGTCCTTACTCATTTTCCTCTTCCTCCTTCTATCCCTCCTCCTCTCCCTCCACTTCTCCCCCTTTCAGTTCCTTCATCTACACCCTCTTCTTCTCCTCCACTACCGCCGCCTCTTCCATGCCCACCTCCTTCTGCAGTTTCAGGACTATCCACAGAGTGTGTTTGCATACCTCCTGATGAATGTACTACCAGTTTGACACCTGCCAAGGAAAGTAAATTCTCTGTGACACAGCTACAAACACCAACAACAGTGGGTAATGCAGACCCTCAGAAAGAACCAAAAGGCATCCTCAAACATATTAAAAACTTAGCAGAACTTGAAAAATCAGTAGCTAACATGTACAGTCAAATAGAAAAAAACTATCCTCCCACAAACGTTTCAAAACTTCAAACGATTTGCCCTTCAGAGATAACACATATGGAAAACACCTGTGAACAAAACCAGGAAAATTTGAATGATGTTGTTGAGGGAATTGAAAAACAATCTCACAGTCAATCTACTTCACTATAATGTCATTTTTAAATTTTACCTGGGCAAGTCTTTTGCTGATCGTAATCTTCAAGTTGAATGTCCCACTGGAACGTCAAAGGAGATTCCGTTATCCCAAACTCAGTGCAATACTATTTTTTCACATTTTTAATTAAAAAAAATATTAACCTCATCACTACTAACTCATAATGTACTTAATTTTCTTAACCACAAATTAGCATTATTTGTCCTACATTTATTTTAAAAGTAAGTAATTTCAATCTCTTTTTACTGGGAGTATAATGGGCATGAATGTCAGATATACAACTGAAACCAAAGGCTTGATTATCATGTCGATGCAGTGACTTTTCCATTTTTTAATTACGTTTAATTTTTGAGCATAGTTTTACATGACTGTTCTAGAAAATAAGTTAAAAGGGATACCATACCTTCTTTTCTTTCTTTGAAACCTATGTATTTGGTAGGAAGTAATCCTACCAAATAAAATGCTATGTACCTAGAACTGTAGGAGAAAACAGATGTAAGGCATCTCAAGCTAAATTCCAGGTGCTATGATATGTAGTAATATGTCATTATAAGAATATCCATTTTCCTGGCTTGCTTTTTATCTTACAAGTATGCTTATAGATTTGCTAACTCTTTTAATTTCTCAATTGCTGTCTTATTCTATTTATTTCTCATTGTGCTTTTACTTCCCTTGTTTATAATGAAAATAAATCTCGAGTTCCTGACCTTTGTAAGACATTTCATTGTTCCCACAAATGTTTAAAGTGCTAGTTGATTTCAGTTTTTCACACTATTACATCATCTCCCTAATTATAGCTTTGTCATAAGATTTCGCTTCAAGGTATTTTACTGATAACCAGTTTCAACAATGAAATATAAAAGATCTAAGTAGAAAATCAGAAGGATTGCATATAGTAAACTCTCACCAGTTTTATATAGGCCTATGCTTCTTGCTTCTTGTTTTATGTAAAGATAGAAATTTATATTGTGAGAAGATATTTTGCAGCGATAGTAGTTTTTCTAGTATCTCAGAGCTCAATTTACAGAATTCTGAACAGTACCAGCTAAATATTATCTTCCTACTTTCTTAATGAAAGTTACTCAGCTTAATTTACAAACCAGTGGAATTTGTGATCATCAAATAATTATTCATTGGAAATGCTTATTTTTATAATTATTTGTTTTGCTCTGAAGTTTTAATATTTCAGAAGATAAAAGTCTGCATAGAGAAAGGTCCAATTGTAAAATACAGGCAAAACGTCATGTTTGATAATGACCATTGCAGTATGTATATTAAAATAAGTTGAGAGCCCCACAGTGCAGCATTTCAAAGGTTTTGTTCAATCCATATAGTATGTGACATTTCTTCAAGGATATGATCTGGCCTCCCTGGGTAATAAGGTCAATTAAAAAATCATCTGTAAGACCTAGTTATTTTCATTAGCTCATCTGCTTCAGATTCTTTTCATCCAAATCAAGAGTAATTTCTTTCTTGGGGTTCTTGAACATGATTTTTTTCTCTCTTTCACTGAAAAACTTCAGTTGGAGTTTTTGTTGGCAGCTGGCCATATGCATGAGAACTTGGGCTATTTGGCGGACTCTGACAAGGTATTATTCACAATTGTGTGAAACTGTAATGTGAGTGTGTGTTTCTTTAAGCTAATTTCTATCAACTTCTTGAAGTCTAAAACCTAGAAATTTCATTATAAGTGCATTTTAACTAATGACCAAAGAAATATTTTCTGAAAACTAAATGACATTCTTGTGTAGGTACCTATAGCCTTAGTAAATGTTACACTATCCTTCTGCTAAAATATTTTAAAATATTTGCATAATCTAAAGATTTTATCAGTATTTTCTGACTTTCACATGAACCGTTTGCACCCATGATTTATATTTAATCCATCTTATATGGATATTTTATGTTCAAATTTTCTGAACATAATTGTAAAGCTACTCTATACAACTATAAACATTATGACATGGCAACCTGCCTCTATTAAAAGAATATATTTTTTCTGTGGATTTACTAAGATAAAATGAAAATCAATTAGATATCTTAAAATACATAGCCAAGCCTACATATATTTATCACTGTTAAAAGTAAATTATTCTACAAGTGGTGTAAATTGCCTAATTAATACACCTTGGATATACACTACATAGAAAAGCACATCCCTGCACTAATATTATGTGCCTGGTTGTATAAGTATCATGGAGCAGAAATCAAAATCTGAAAGCACACAGATAGTTATAAATGTTGATTTTAAATGCATTCTCACTGGGATATTTTACATGATATATGTGACTCAGTGGTAATTATTAAATTGTAAATATGAGCTTCCTCTAATTTAGGTATTGTTAAGAGATAGAAATTGAGCAAAAATTGAAAATGTATAACTTTCTAAAGGTTGTAAAAGGATTGCCATTCCCACAAATATTAGCAGAAACATGTAAGTACGCTGCAAAATTCTCTACAGCACCATTTCAAATAATTATCGATGGCACTGAGGAAGAGTTGTATTAACTTTACAATTTCACTGAGAAATGCATTAACCACATAAGATACTTTCGGATAAACAGACTTATCCTTGGATTAAAATAAAAAGCTGCAGAGATTATTTTGTTGAGCTTTAGAAAACTGTGTATCTCTTTGCAGTTAATCTTCATTGCATTTGTATATTAATTCCATGTGGCATGGTCACCATCAGTTTAATACTTTAGGTTAACTATTCAATAAGTAGTAAATTTAAGATTGTCACGGTTAGTGGTATTCAACACTGACTATTCTATACTTTTCTGTCTCAAGGTAGTCCAATATTTTGCCAAGTTGTCATCTGTGAACTTTATAAATCTTTGTAATATTGAATTTTTTTGCTGTCATACCTCTAAAAAACACTTTCTTTTTAAATAATATAATTGACCTCTGAAGGATAGTCAATATTTTATATTCTTTGTGTCCTGAATCAAGTCGACAAAAGCAGAAAAACATTAATTTGGAAGAATATACTCCAGATATGAGGATGATTTTTCACCCTGTGTATCACATCTTCCATGTAAGAAACATCTTTTTAATGAGTGTCTTACATGTAAGAAGACTGTGTATGATAAATATTATCTTAATCATATTAGAGTCAAAGTTTATTGTTACATGCTATTGAGATAACACAACTATCTTAAATATTTTCCTGTTCTTATAGAACGAAGGTCTGAGATAATTGCTTTTACTAATTGAGGCATGAAATTCTGAGCCTTCTGTCATGACAGTGCTACAAAACAGACTTCCACATAAGACAGGTTTTAGTAAAAATTATCTTCTCTTTATTGCTTACATTCTTCGTAAAAGCCCTTCTCTCTAATTTGGTCTAATCCCAACCCAAGATGTTTAATACTGATTTCTTTATTTCTGCCTTACAGGAGAGGTTATGCATCAGAGGTAAGGGCTTTATGGTGTTATGATGACCTTAACAGGAAACTCTGTGAAATAGGCAGGACTAAGGTCTGACCTTACCCAGCTAGGTTATTTACCTTTATTTCAACAGACACAGGTATGCTTTGCAATTTATTTTCTTTTATATGTATATTATGTCTTTGTTTTGTTTTCCTTTTAAAGATTTATTTATTTATTTGAAAGGCAGAGCAAAGGAGAGAGCAAGGAGCAGACAGAAGAGATCTTCCATCCACTAGTTCACTCCCCAAATTGCCCCAATGCCAGATCTAAGCCAGGCACTAGGAACCCCATCCTGGCCTCTCACATGGGTAGCAAAACACCAGATACTTGGACCATATTTACTGCTTCCCCAGGAACATTAGCAGTAAGCTAGGTCGGAAGTGGAGTAGCTGGAACTCCAACTGGTACTCTATTATGGGAAGTTTGTGTTGTACACTAAGGCTTAACTCCTTGTGCCAAGACACTGGCCCATGTTTTGAGTTTTTAAGTATGTCATCCAGTGGGCAAAGAAATTGTTTATAATTATTTTGTCCCAAAATACTCAGTATTGTGACATTGTCCCCAATTTGATTTTCTAAGGCTATAAATGTAATTTTAAAGCAGGTGGATTAGTTAATTGTTCTTTGTGCTAAGCCAAAACTGTATCCTATTTTCATGTTACAGCATGGGATCTTACAAAGATTAGAAAAATAAATAAATGAGGTCATTAGAAAGCACTGGCTTTCCTATTGCAGTAATGCATCTCAGTCTACAGATAGATAAATAACATTGGCCAGAATGTCCAGATCAACTATACTGTAAACTGTGTTATCAACAATGCCACTGAGAACCTGATTTAGCATACAACTTACCAATTAAAGAGACTGAAATGCATATATGTTATTATTTGCTGTATGCTCTAGAATATGTAAGTCTCAGATCATGTAGAAATGAAATGGAATGCCTCTAGGAATAATCAGGATTTTCAGGGATTATTACAATAGATTACAGATCGAATCCAAGTATCTCTAACTTAAACTCTCCTTTCCTTTAAATGAGTAACATCACCAGAGTAACTTAATAACAATGGCATCATCCAATGTCTCTCCAGACAAATAGTTGTTCTAATGGCCAGTTGGTTTGCTGGTAAAAATATCCAAAGAACCTCTCTGCCAACCTGCGCAATTTATACTTTAAGGTATGTGTTGCTAGTTTGGTCATTTGGCATAGCACACATCTGCATTCCATATCAGAGCACATCAGGCACTCTGGGAGACAGCCTGGCTCAACCCTGGTTGTTGGACGTGTTTGGGAAGTAAACCAGTAGATGCAAGATCTCTTTCTGCCTCTGCCTTTCAATGAATAAAAATCCATGATTGTTCAACCTTATCCCACCACAGAGTGGATCACCCCTAAACTTTTGAAGTCTAAATTCTCATGAGGCAGACCACCTGGGACTGTTTCCTTTAAATAAGTATGAGTGGAGGAGGGATGAGACAGTCCCTACAATATCGGAGGAGGGATCCTTTTCCTAATCAGAAATTACTTTCTGGAAACATGTGTCATGAGTGAGTTTGAGGAATGTACATTTGGATCAAAAGGACAAAGACTGGTGATATTGGCTTAAATATGGTGACTGCATTACAGCCATATCATTCTGTCCATTCTACTCTTCTTCCCAGTGGACTTGATTATACTTTTGATTGGGAAGAAAAAAAGAGGGACAATTTAAAACAAGATTAAATTTGCTAAAACTGTGATTTCAACTGTATTTAGAACAAAAACAACTCTTTTCAGTTATGAAGACTGACCAAAAAGAAATCTTTGACAGACTCCTGTTTTTTTTAGTTTATTCATATTTGATACTGCTTAAAACATTTAATTATGACATTTAAAAATTAATTACTGCTTCAGTATAATCATGCAAAATAGTTAATGCTTAACAATTCATAATCTGAAGGTAGCCAGTTTTAAACTGTCACCTTTTTGTTTCTCTCCTCTTAACCATAACCTACCTTTTCCATATTAATTATTTTCTAAAACTTTTTCTATTTTAATTTTCTTTGGCAGCAACAACAACTACTGAGGCCTTCTCTTCTTAAACCAGAGGTATCGATTTTCATTCTCTTTCCAACCTCACTCCATCTTCATAATTCTTTCATGTAACTTTATGGCCCCTCTTAAGGTGGCAGAGTGGGTGGGTTGGTGGCCTTCACTGTGACATAAATTTAGCAGAGATAATAAAGAAACAACAAGTAGGCCTTTGCTCCTGTTTAAACTATCATTGAATGAAGCAATTCATTTTCCTGAGTATTACTTGTCTTTGATTCATTCCTTAGAAAGAATGCTGGCTTCTATATTCAAATATGAGGTCAGATAATTCAAAATACTGCCTTTGCACATGCCAATGTCAAAGTACCTGCGACATTAATTTTCTGCAATTAATGCCTATTGCTATTTATATATTATGTTTGCACTGCCAGAATTAAACTTTAAAAAGTATCTAAAACTGATACCTATTTTATGTTTACTATGTTACAAGTATCTGTTTACAAATGTTTGGTTTCTTTTCTCTAACAATATAATGCTAACTTCACTAAGAAGTATTTCTTGGTCAGAATTTACCCTCCTAAATCTGGAGCTTGAGTGACAGGAATAGTTAGCTGTTGTAAAGCTTTTAGTAAAGATTTCCATGGAGAGGGCTTCTTAGACTACTGAGCCAGAAAAATCTAGATTAAAATCCCAAAGCCAATTACAAGACTCGCAAGGCTTTATTCAACCTATGCATTCTGTTGAATATTAATGAGTTCATCCATAAAATGTTAGCAGTAACATCTAATATATAAACTCCTAGTTCAGCATTGGAATGCAGCAGTAAGAAATGGATTAAAAGACAGTTTTACTGTTCTTTCACGTTTGCATGATTATAAATATGCATAATAATAAAATTCTAAAGTATATGCCTTCTTTGGTCAGCAAACAAATGAATTTTAAAAATACCTTAAATGTTTCATTTACATTAAAAAAATCACTTTTCAGTATGCTGCTTTGCATGATTTTCTAAAATCTGGGAGTTACCAATTTAAAACTAACTATCTGGGTCCACACGGAAAACTTACTGGATACCTGGTCCTTCCTTGATTGCTTTTTTAAGGATGATGTTCTACTCCTCTTTCATGGGTTGCATAAGCATCCAAGAGGCACTCTGCAGATGCTCCCTTCTGCTAGTTCCTATCCCTCCCTCTCAATTCGGAACTACATATGGACTGAATCTAGAACTATCTTGCTGAGTCTCCTGGTTCTCCATGCCTGTCCTTTGTCTCCTTATATTTTTAACATAATTGACAATGAACATAAAATATAGTGAGAAAGAAGTGATTTTTGAAAACGCAGATCCACATCACTGCATGGTCCCAATAAACATTTAACTAGAATATTTTCTGTCTTTTTAGAAGTTATTAAAATTCAACTCAAAGCTGTTTAATGTTCTTTTCTCATTTTCTGTATTACCTTGGGCATGTGTTGGTCAAGCAGCTTAAAAGTTTTTCTTCTGAGCCCTATTTGCTTGATTTAAACCAGTTTCATTATATTGAATTTTAGATGTCTCTAAAATTTAAGCTTATCACTTCAAGAGCGTTTCATTTTCAAAGTATTTATTTTTAATAACTTACAACTAGAACTTGACTGGATCTCAGCTTGTTACTTGTCTTTTGTAACCTCATTCCACCCACATTTTCATTCCTTCCTCTCATCTTTGATATTTTTTGGTCAACATAAAGCATATAGGTGTCAAAGTATAAAAATCATTTAACTAGATCAATTTTAAGAATGCATACGTGCTCCTTGCTCTCCAGAAACACCTCCTGTCAGCATGTCACATGTTAATTTCCCTCCTTGTAACCATTCACTGGCTTGTTATACACTCATTAGATAGTCTGCTTTTGAAGTTTATATGAGTAGAATATAGTGTGTTCCATTTGTACTTGACATTTTTCTCATCATTGTATTTCTTAACATGGTTGTATGATATATCAATGACTTTTGCGTTGGTTCTAATTTTTGACTGTTACAAACAGTGTATAGATATACATTTTTCTATGGCATTTATAATGATTAACTGGAATTACTATGAAAGAATGCATGCCCCTAATGAACTTTGGTACTACTGCCAAACATTTTCAATTTATAGTCTCTCCGAAAGGTAATGGGGCTTCAAGTTTCTATATGTGCACGTCAACAAATGGTATTGCTGATTTTTTTTTTTTACTTTAGTCATTAAGGAAGATAAACTGGCCTTTTTTTTAATCAAAATATGACAAAGATGACTGTAAAGTCATGAGAGAGCATATTAGTAGAGTAAAGGGAGTGCAAATTTAAGCAATTACAGGATCCGAGGGAAAAAGATATATGAATAGAGTTTACTAGATGAAAAAAAAAAAAAAAAGAAGGCTGACCCTAGGGTCACTTCGAACCTAGCTGCAGAACAGTATTTTTGGCGAAGGTGTAGTAAAAAGGAGAGAATATGCTTACTACTAGGAGTAGCACCACCAAAGATTGTTAATGTGTGAAAATGCAGTCCTAGAGTGGCCACCTTTTGATTTCCGAAGAAACAAACACATCCAAATTTGTGGTGACATTATCTGAACAGAAGTATTGACAACTAATACAGTTTTTAAAAATGAAGATGACCAACCCACACAATGAGGGACCCATGTCCATATCCATCATGAAGGCTGTAAATTATTGCATTTTTTTAAAAAAAGTATCATTCTTTTCCTGACTCATTGCTCTATCTAGATCAACAAATATTATTAAAAATAGATGATCTTAGAAATTAGTATGAACCTGTTCTGTAGACACCCGCTTTTCTCCTTCTCTCTTCCTACTCCCTGGCAAAATTATTGTGGTGAACCTGTTCAACATGTTAAAGTGTAAAGAAGTTTAACTTAGTAGTTACTAGAAACTGTTTTCAAATGTATATCTCAAGAAAAACATTTTTCTTAAGAGCAAAGTTGGACAAAAATCATGACTGTGTAGAGTTTCAAACTGGAAATCTGTAAGGAGCCTTTATCTAGCCAATTATTTTAGGTATAGAATTACTAGACACTGTTAATATATCATATCTCCCAGCAAAATGTTTACATTTAACAGATTCTTCTTAATATATATGATATATGTTGTTATCACTTGATGACTTTATATGAAGTTAATGAATGGAATAACACTGCATACTAGCAAATTGTTGGTTAGAAGATAGTAACAACTGAAAAAGTTTCTTTTAAGGTTAAAGTAAGTTAATCATATAAGTTACAAAAGAGTTAAGTGCTAGCTGTATTATTGATAATTCTAAAAATTATAGCAAGTGAAAGTACTCATCTGCAATTTTTTAACACTTGCCATTAAAAAAATTTACACCTCCTCTCACCAAGATCACTCACAACCAGAAAGAAATATTTGAATATGTTTAACCATTTCTGGCAGGAGTGTTTTGAGAGTCATCAAATTCTAGCTGTGGAAATCTGACATTGGGTTGCAATATGATAAAAACTTGTTTTCAAATGCAGTTTCTCTTTTTTGAATGATAGGAGTTATCCATGGAGTCTGGAATTGATCCTGGCCAAGAATTTGGACAAGATTATTACAGTTATGAGCATGGGTACATCTTCAGAATCTTTTTGGAATATTTTATTAATTATTAGATGCTAATTTTCAGTAGCAACTGTTTTCAAAATGTTATTCTGTTAGTTTCATATTTGTAAATGAATAATATATCTAGCTTTATTTTCAAACAAGTTTTAACCTTTTTTCTGTACTGAGTACTATATTGCTGCTTTACATTGACATTGATTGATAGAGTAACATTATTCAAATTATTTAAATGAGAAATAAAAGTCAATCATATTTGCTCAATTCCTCAATTCACCATTTCTTTTGTATGAGGTTTCTAACATTTTTTCTAACCAGTCAGCCAAAAGTTTTGTTCAAGAGCAATTAACAGGCAAAATCATACTTCAGTATCTAGAAATACATATTTCAAAAGTAATTTCTATATACATAATTTAACATAAAATACAGCAGAAAAATCTAAAGATTTTCACAGACTCTGGCTGAAGCAATCTTCTACTATACAGACTTTATGTTCTGAACAAGCTATTCCACATTTAGAAACAACTATTTGGTGTCCTATGTTCTTCAGTTACAGACAATATGTCTTCTTTCCTCCTACTTTTCCCAAAAATGTAAATCTGAAATAACTCTCTCTATTGCTATCCCAGGATAGCAATATGGCAAAAGTCTTTGGTCATCAGGTAGCAGCCCTTACCCTATAGTTTTATAATTCACTTAAAAGTAGCCTAAGAGGTTCTGTATGACTATCTGTTGATTTATGAAGAAAAAGAAGAAAACAGAGATCATTCATGGTGTATTCCACCCAGACCACATGTAAAAATGTTTGAGGTTCTAAGTTTCTATTGCAGGTATGAAATGCCTCAATATGGAAGCCGCCGTCGATTGTTGCCACCTGCTGGACAGGAGGAATATGGTGAAGTGGTTGGTGAAGCTGAGGAAGAGTACGAAGAAGAGGAGGTAATGGCTATGGTTTCATATGTGAAGTAATACTCAAAGAACAATATGTTCTCCCTATTTGATTTCCAGAATCCTGCTCACGTAGTATTTGTTTTCCAAAGAATTTCAATAATGTTAGCCGTTTCATTGCCTTGTCTGGAAAGGAGAGTTAACAGTAAAATTTATTTTTCGTCCAGGAAAAGCTGCAATGAAATTTCTGGTTTCAAAAACACAATGGTTACTTTTGTTCCCACAGTATACAGCATACCTAAAACATGTGAAATGTGTAGACTCCATCCTTCAAAGAAAAACTATTTATGCCAGTATTTTCAAAGTAATTATATAACTTATGTTTAAACTAGCACAAGCCATTTCTATCATATTTTTATACTTTGTGTGCCATTCGTAATCGACAAGTGTGCCCCTTAGAAAAATACTGAGTATCACTGCTGCTCTACACTGTTCACAACTTATGGCCAATACTTAAACTTCCCCTTGAGTTTTAAAATAAACTGTCACAATGTTTGTGATTATTTACCAGTCTTAGATGTGAAGCTATTAGCCAAAGTCTAACAATAGGAGTGTGAAGACACAATGATTAATTACTTCTTTCTTTTTCAATCTAAGATTCAAAATAAGCCTTAGGTAAGAAAAATGATAAATGACTATATTTGAGACCTATAAAGTATACTCCAAAATAAAATAATGTACTTTCTCTTCATTATCCCCTGTATTTAGCAGTATTTGGCTATTGTTTTCCAAAACCAGTTATGTAACTTGTACAGAACTAGCATCCTGTAGGTTCACTCCTGTTTAACCTATGTGGGAAAAGGTCGAATCGGAATTATCCCTAAGCTGATCCATCAATTGCATTTTCACAATTTTCAGGAAATCCCCAAGAAAATTAAAAAACCAAAGGTTGAAATTAGAGAGCCTAGTGAGGAGGAAGAAGTAGTTGTAACTATTGAAAAACCACCGCCCGCTGAACCCACATACACAACGTGGAAACGGGCCCGGATATTCCCCATGATTTTTAAGAAAGTTCGCGGACTCGCTGAGAAAAGAGGCGTTGTGGACCTCGAGGGTGAAGAGTGGCAGAGGCGCCTTGAGGAAGAAGAGAAGGATTATCTGAAACTAACTCTAGACCAAGACGAAGCTACCGAAAGCACGGTAGAGTCAGAAGAGGAGTCCTCCAGCGACTACACTGAATACAGCGAGGAAGAATCCGAGTTCAGCGAGTCGGAGACCACGGAGGAGGAGTCGGAGTCCGAGACCCCCTCTGAGGAGGAGGCGGAGGAGAGTTCCACCCCCGAATCAGAAGAATCCGAGTCCACAGAATCGGAAGGGGAAAAAGCGAGGAAGAACATTTTTCTCGCTAGAAGGCGGCCCGTCGTGGAGGAGGTCAAGGCGGTCAAGGGTAGGAAAGAGGAGCCGCCCCAGGAACGTGAAGCTGCAGCCGCGGCGGAAGGAGAACAGCCGGAAGAAGAGGAGGAGGAGGAGAGTGAAGCGGCCCCCGCGGAGGAATCCACAGAGCCTGGAGCGGGCGGCGGCCCGGAGGAGGGCAGTGCCGAGTCGGCGTCGGTGGAAGGCGCCGTGGAGAGCGAGGAGGAGTCAGAACTGAGCGGTAGCAGCAGCAGTAGCGAGAGTCAGTCTGGGGGTCCCTGGGGCTTTCAGGTGCCAGAGTACGCCAGAAGCAAGCAGTCCCACCCAAGGACTTCTCCGGGAGCGAGCTCTGAAGGTTACAACACGGCCCTTTAACAGAGATCACAGTAGGTGGGGTTCTGCAGTGACGAGTGCTCTTGTGTGCGGTGCCTTCTGTGTGTTCTCTGAAACGCTCTTGCCAGGCGAGAAACTGGTCCTGGCTCGGTTCTGACATGCGAGCAGAAACATGCCAGAAACGTGAGCCCATGCTCCACAAACAGCTTTGTGCGCTGGACGACGCTGGAGCAAACTGCCTAGTCCGTCCTTATTAGTAACTAGGAACACGTGTCGTCAGCTATTCAGTATTTAGGTAATGCATGTGCAATGACAAAAACATGATCTGTTTATATATAAATATAGGCGGAGTGTGTGTTTAACATCAACTTTGCCCAAGGATGTAGGATAAGCTGAAATAAATCTTTAATGGTCCAAACATGTAAATTTTAACTATCATAGATATTATCAAATACCTTCTAATAGTTAAATAAAATTTAAAAAATTCAAAGTTTTACCATTTATGTAGTGCTGGATGTGAACCAAAGTAGAGTTCTAGCAATGAAAAATATATTTATATCTGCTAAAATTATTTTCTTAATTAAAAAGGAGGAGACACAAAGAGAAAGGGACATCTGATTCACTCGCAAAATGGACCCAACAGCTCAGGCTGGACCAGGCTGAAGCCAGGAAGATGGAATGAGATCTGTCTCCCACGGAGTGTCAGGGACCCAGCATTCTTCAGCCATCATCTTCTGCCTCCTGTGTGCATTAGAAGGAGATCAGAGGTTCAAACAAGGCACATCAAATAGGTTTGGTAGTCAGAAGCAGGAACTTAACCGCTGTACTAAACATCTACCCTGATTGTCTCTCAAATGAAGGATTTAGGAAACTAAGTCTTCCCTACACCTGGTTCATTCTCCAAATGCCCGCAACTGGGAATGGACCAGGGCCGAAACGGGATTAAGTTTCTACGCCAGGATTCTGACTAATTAAGTCACCGGGGCTGTCTCCCAGGGTCTGCTTTAGTCGCAGGAAGCTGGAATCAGGAGTCTAATCCAAGCATTCTGATGTGAGATGCAGGCATCTTAGCCCATTGGCTCGATGTCCACCCCAATTTTCAAACAGGTACCTGAACATCAAGAAAGTATGAATTGTACTTGATACAGAGTATTGATAATTGACATAGATCAAAAACGCAGCCTTATTCTGAGAAAAAACGTGATATAGTTTGAATGTCGTTCTTTTCAATTTAACTTTCCCGATAGTGTAGTATTTGTCCAGCAAAATGGACCAGATCCTTCAATATAATCAACATACCTGTGCTTGGAGCAGTGACTTGGTGTGAAAGAATGCATGTGGTTACTGTAATGCCTGCGTCTGTACTCAGTAACACTTCGCTTTAAAACCAATGAGGAATTGCTAAAAGAAACTGATGTGAACAGCTGCTCTCTTCTGTTTCTCTTATAAACCTTTAATAGCCTTCCGAATGTCACTGCATCCTAGCCTGTTCATTGATTTTGCTAAGGACTCACCTATTGTTTTTATTTTGTCAGTGGGCAAGAAAAAGAATGATCAAGCTCATTGTTGACCGGGACTATGAAAGCAGCTCCACTGGAGAGGACAGCGCTCCCGAATGTCAGAGAAGCCGTCTGCACAATGCTAACATCCACAGTAACATCAACGGCAACATCTATATCGCACAGAACGGATCTGTGGTGCGGACCCGCCGCGCCTGCCTCACGGAGAACGTCACACTTGCCTCCCCTGTCCGCCTAGGAAGGCACTTTAAGAAACTAGACAAGTTGGCAGTGACACAGGAGGAACATGTACCACTGAACACGTTGTCCAAGGGGCCATTTGCTACTGAGAAAATGAACACAAGACCAACCCTGGTCACCTTTGCCCCTTGCCCTGTGGGGACAGACCGTCCGGCAGTGAAGTCGTCGGGGAACAGGCTGAAAAGCACAGTTGAACAGGAGTCCGTGGTTGATGATAAGAACGTGAAGGAGACATCAGAATTCCATAGTGACCACACACAGTCCGACGATGAAGAGCTTTGGATGGGCCCCTGGAACAACCTCCATATACCAATGACGAAACTGTGACCGATTTTATAAATGTTATTTTAATTTTTACTTCAGTTTTTGATAAACTGTACTTTTTACTGTCACTGAGAAAACAAAGTATGGAATTTATATCACGCACACAAACTAAAACTTTGAACAATATGCTTTAAAATTTAAAAAAGAGACAGGTTTGCACTCACATTTGTATCTATTGTTTTTCCCAGAAAACTCTTTTTGGACAGACTCTCAATCCACTAAAGAATGTCATTTAGACTTTCCGCTGTTTTGTTGGGTCTTTAATTTTTTCATTGTAATAAACAAGAAATAATCCATCAAGTAATCATTTCTATTTGTTGATGAATGTAGATTATGCTTCAGTTTTAGTTTCACAGCACTTATTTTGGTACATCTAATTTTCCATAGGCAAATGTGAAAACAAAGTAGAAAATTTTTACAAGTTTCAGGTTTATACACTTGCTAAGTATACTGTCCAGATTTGTACAATGAAGAGAGAATTGCAAAGTATAAGTAACTTTGGAAATCACTTGCAAATTATTTCAAATCATGAGCTTTTTGTCCTCTTTGTTCAATATAAAATTTTCATATTTTTATATGTTAATCTTTAAAGGAACAGTTCAAGTCGTATCTCTTTCTATCACTATCACTGACAATGTTCACTGGTGCGCCAACCACTTCTACACACACTCTATCCATACCAAACTTAGTAGATAATTTAGTTACCAGAAGGCAAATAATTCTTAGAGCAATGGAGAAATCTTACCATCAGCACAAGCTTGCTGAGAAGTGGGAAAGAACCAAATAGGCAATAATGCTTCTAGACTCACAGTTTCATAGGGCAAATGTGACAAAGTCAATGAAGTCTTACTTTAATGTCACTGAACATGAATATTTTATAAACTCAGCATAAAGGGATTTGCCAAGTTCAAGAATTTATATAAAATGTGAAGTATCTATAAACCTGATAAATCCATAACTTCAAATGTATTATTGCGTTTAAATTTCCCCAGCTCTATTTTATTTTTAAAATATTTTAATGCACGTATCTATGTGCCTAAAGTTCCAGAGGCAGAAACGGATTGCCGGGGCATTTTTTTTAAAATAAAAAACAGTCTTTTTTTTTTTTTTTTCCACCATTGAACAAAGCACAGTGTTTCACCATTGATAGAAATGAAAATAAAATATCCTTAAGAAAAAAAAAAAAAACTTCTGTTTTGCATACTGCCAGATGTAACAAGAATGACTACAGTTTAAGAGAATTCAGATTTCTATTGACTATGACTTAGTATGACATAGATATAGCTCACCTCAAACTTTGCACAGTTATTGATGAAGTCCAGATTTTAATGCAGTTTTTTCATGCATGCTCATTACATGGCTGAAGGATTGAATAATGCATTGTTATTTGTTCCCCTTTACATGTTTCACATTTTACCAAGTTTGTTAGGATGCTGTTTCCTCATTTCCAAAGTGAATGAGGTATATTAACATGAACTTTGCCAACTTAAACAAGTAGTGTTCTTATTTCATATTTCCAAAAGTATTCAGGATCAAATACATGACCATTTCATTTATCTGATCTCATTGGCATTTAATGCATTTTATATCCTTGCTAGAAAAACGATCAGCATTATGTAGGAGCTTATTTAAATATAGAGTCATGCCCACACCTCCAGGCCTACTGCACAAGAATCCACATTTTCACATGATTCTAAGGTGGTTTGTATGCATATCAAATTTTGAGAAGCAATGATCTCTGTACTACTGAACTCCAGGACTTATTCCTTGAAGCACCAAAGCAATTGCATTTACTATAAATATTTTCTATAGAAATTAAATTAAGAATATATTTCCCTACTAGTTCAGAGATCATTAATTAAAATTTCATTTTTGATGTCTCAATATTATCTCAGTATCATTTTCTCTGCATTTACCTTCTTGTGCTTTATTTTTCCTTTCAATTTCTGTAACATTTAAGCTACTTTATTGCTGTGCCTTTCCCTATTTTAAGTTACAGCTTTTAATATCCTAGAGAAAAAGTTGTGGTTTTGTATGCTTGCTGTGTGTGTTATTGTTGAAAGATCATTAAGTCTGAGATGGGAATCAAGAAAAAAGCTTTGTCATTCTCAGCATTTTCTTCATTCACAATTGGGAAGGGAGCACTCTTCTGGAAATTGAAAACCAGCAGAAAGCTAATGTCCGTATGTCCTGATTCATGACATGTCATTGTATTTCAAAGTATACTTTTTACAAGGAAATATGCAAAATTACAAACCAGTAGGCAGACATATTCAATCAATTTCAAGTCAATCATTTCAGCTGAAACAATCATGAGGTTAGTCAATGCCTTCTAATGGAGATAGTATAAAGATAAGTAGTTTTTACAAACAAATATTTGGTTCATATATTTTGAGATAAAATATACACTACAACAAAAAAAAAATCACTAACTGATTCTGAACCAATTGAATAGTTAATTCGATAGAACTTTCAGTACTCTATAAATCCCTGACTCAGGATTTAAAGTTTGAAAATCAAGGGAGATACCCTAGTATGTTTAATCTTGGAAATGCTTCATATAACCTATGTTTTTATGTAAATGTTATTCATGGAATTTGTTGGTTTCTCCTAGAAAGGCATAGGAATTTTGTTGTCGTTGTTGTACAAATCAGCACTAGTTTTTCCATCAAGCAAAAGAAAGAGTAGATGCTGGCTTTTTAAGATGAAAACAGACTGATAGGGCTATAATGCCACACTCACACGCATTGATTTCAGCTGTTCTATGGAGATTAGGAAAAGAAGGATGACAAAACATGGTGAAGATGACATACCACTTGTGACTCAATGACTAAATCATAGATGCTAGCATCTCTCTAGACTTATCATTTTTATTATTTATAGACTCATAATTCCATAATTTCAACTATAGGTTGGCCAAAAACATCTTTTGAAAATACAAAACAATTGCCTTGAATTTTATATGTGATATGACATTTGTATTAGCAGACTACAGTGTGAACAAGAATATTAACATGTTTTATTTATACTAAGTGGATCATCCAGAAAGGATATGGTAGCTACTATGAAAATATTGTTCAAACCTTTCTGTATTATAGAGCCAGAAATAATTAAATATTGGTTCTTGAGGGAGGACTTTTATTTCATGAGCCTTGCTTTTTTTCTTCTCTTTCTGCTTCAACTTCTGCACTTTATACTATAAGTGGGACTTCTAAACCACTTTAGTTATTTAGTAGAATAGGCAGAAAGTGCTAACAATCTGTTCTCAGGGCAGATACCTATTGGTGCCTGCAAGTAACACAGTGATACGGCTGAGGGGTAGGTTCAAAATAATATTGAGGACTTGTGTTTTTATTGGTAGTTTTTCCCTGTTTTCGAGCGATCTGCGAATTACTTAGCACTATTGTTCATTACTTGCTCTGATCTCTACAATAACAATCTTTACTTTTAAATATCTTTATTGCAGGCTACTTTATGGTAAGTTGAATGGCTGTATTGAAGATTTGAATGTTGTCTATGTTTTGAAAAAATCAGCACATTCACTGCTTTCCCCATTTCTGTATCCAAACACCTGTTCTACCTTAAGAAATATTATGTTATTGTATGAAGAATCTGAATTAAAAATATAATTTAAAATCCATTGTTATTCACTACACAATGTTTCAAAAATAAATTTCCATGTGAAAAAATGATTTCTCATTATTCTGTCAGATGTGGATACAAATAATAACTATTCTCTCATGCAGTTTATTATTTCAGTTTGACAATAAAAAGAAAAGCCAGTGTTGCAAACTTATCTCAAAACAATGTAGACAATAGAAGTGTGTTTTAAAACTCCTGTTTTTTTTCCTTCATTTAAGTAATGTATCCATGTTCTTTATTTAAAAAGTTTAACAAATATATGAGAAATACATATTTATGGGATACCAGTGATGTTTCAATGCATGAATATAGTGTATCATGTCTGTATATGGTACATCTTTCTATTTCTTCCAACACCTAACATTTCTTTAGGGTTAAAACTTTCAAGACCCTATCTTCGTGGTTTTTCTTTCTTAAGGAACCAGGCATAGGAAGACAAGAACCACATGGCCTTAGTCATTCATAGAGTCTAAGAAAAGATGGTCTATTAGATGTTAAAATTGTGATGATGGTTCCCAGGTGCTGGGAGGAAGGAGGGAGAGAGTGATGGTAAAGACTGATAAATGGGCACAAATTCATTGTAAGTAGCTCAGGGTTTTACTGCATGGTAGGGAGAGTATAGATGTTAATGTACTTTGTATGTGTCTGTTTTTTAAACAGAATTGGAACATGCCATCAAGTCTGAAGAAGGGCAACTGTTTCCTAACATACAACTTGCATATTATAAAAATAAAACTTTACAATCATGCACTTAGATTTTCACAGATAATCAGTTATGCTCATAGAAATGCTGAATGACCTCATAAATGTGACAAGTTGCATAGCTAAAATGAAGCCAAATCATGTATTTTTAATATATTTATCCCATCCTAAGAAAATTCTAATCTATATACCTGCATGAAATATTTTCTTATTTTCCTGGCTACATGAAGATGCATAAGTTTCTAGTGCAGCT